TCCAAAGTCAGCCACCCAACCATTTTTTCCAACACCACCAACTTACAATTTTCTTATTTTTGAGCTAAGCTATAAATCTCATCCTTTTGAGGTCGGTTTACAAGCCTCCAATAATTCAAGACAAGCCACCAGCTCGCAATTTGTATATTTTTTAGCCAAGCTATAAGATCTCATCATTCAAAGATCAACTTATAAGCCTCTAATAGTAATATACGAGCCACCAGTTCATGATTTCTCTATTATTGACACAAGTTATTACACCTCTTTTTTCAATGCCAGTTTATAAGCCTCCAATAGTTCATGACTAGCTTTTTATTTCCCATCTTTGTAACGTGTAACAAATTTATTCTCAACTTTTTTTAAGCACAATACATCTTCGACTTTCAATTATTTAGCAAAACTCAACATTCATTCCATTTTGACTATTAAATGATAAATTTTGCCTCATTTTTGTATTAAAAAAAAAAAAGAAAGCAATAAGGGAAAGTAAAGGGAGTCTCGTCACTTTTCAAAAAGTACAAACAACTCACTTAAAACAATTATATACAAATTAACACAAAAAGAGAAAATAATTCAGAACAAAAAATGGGGAAAAAAGTGGTAATTACATAAATCCAGGTGTTTAAAGATTGATTTTTAAAAATCAGGTCTAAACTTTATTTATTCAAAAATCAGGTATTATATTAAAACCCTAATGATAACCTAATTGCTCTCTCTACTCCCTTCCCCTATCTCTCGCGTCTCCCCTCCTCTTCTCCATTCTTTTCCTCTCTCGTGCTCGCCGTCGGGGACGACCGTCCACTTCCGGAGACCACCTCCTAGAGCCCCTGCGCCACTGCACTTTTCCCTTCGCGAATCACCGCGAGTTGCGGTGGTGAAATGACACCGCGAAGCAGACCACGGCGAAGCAGAGCTCTAATGATGAACAGGTGGGTGACGGTGTAGATCGAGGGTGCAGAAGAGAAGCTGTGGTGGTGGTGTAAGGTGGAGACATTTTGGTGTTGGATTG